TGCGCTGGCAATTCTCCAGTCTTCCGAGGAGGGTAGCAGGTGTCATTTCCAGGGCGTTGTGATTGCATGCGACAGTAGTCCTCGCGATGTACATTACGCGGAGGGTTCTCCGCGGAAGCGCAAGGGTCCGCCCTCGGAAGGGAAGGCGGCCGACGTGGTCATGGTGGACAAGACGGGGCCCATCAGCGCGTGCTTATGGGGTGACGCCGCTGAAGATATCTTCAGCATCTGGCGCGCTGTACAGGAGCGTCGCCATCGGGGCGACGTTGCTCCGTGCGTCGTGGACCTGTCTAAGGTTCGCATCCAGGGGGCGGGGGAGAACAATTGGAACGGGGAGTTGCTGACGCGAATTCGTTTGTTGACGTCGATCGAAGCTGTTGGCGGGGAGATGGGCGCGACAGTGCAGGTGCTTTCTGGACCGACGTCGGAGAATCCCATCAAGATGAGTTAAGCGGTTCCACCTTCGGATTGTTGCGTTTCCGTGTTTCGATCTCTCCGCGACAAATTGAACCTTCCATTCCGGTTGTCGGTGAGAGGTAAAGTCATGGATCTGCAGTCGTTGGAGATGTCGCAAGGGGGGAACGCGAAACGGATATTTGATTTAGTGGACAACAGTGGCCTCTACTTCACTTGCTGCGCCATGAAGCACAATGCGGAGTCCCAGGCGCTGCGGAACTTCCAGGACGTCGCGGTCTACTACGGGACAGGCCGCGCGGCCATTGGCAATTCCAAGGGCATGCTTTATCTTTTGAAGGATGCGATGATAATCCCCATCGGCCAGCCTGCTATGTTGGGCACTGCGAAAACCGAGCAGCTTACTATTCAGTGAAATGCGCCGCTTCGGTGCAACTACTTCGGCGTGGCTCTAGGCAGCGCGTGCGTTGAGGTTCATCGTGTGTTACCGTGTGCGGCAAGGTGGTCGCCGTTATTCTTTCTTATTCTTCGTGCATGTTGTGTTCTTTGGGCTGTCAAGCAGTGGGCTCAGATGGTGTATGGTGTCTCCTCCAGTAGTGGTGATGTCAATATGTACCACTAAGGATGTGACGCTGCTATACGTGATTACCTCTGGGTACAGTGAGGCTGGACATTGGATGTTGCGTCACAGGGGTCCGTGGTTGCTGTATACACGGCGTGGGCTTCGGTATGTATCCAATGGTGGATATGCCTCTACTCATCTTCCGAGGCGCTTCGAGTGTGCTCCAGTACAGGAGACATCCCGCTGGTGGGACTCGTATTGCAAACTGGCTGGACTCCGTACTTGGGTTCTTTGGGGCTGGTTACTATACTCTGTGATGGTGCTGGTTACCCTGGGAAGTGATGGTGCTGGTGACTCTTCTCAGTGAAGGTTCATTGGTGTTATTACCTTGTGATGCAGCGCTCAATCAGTACTGGGTGATATCGCTGCCCGTCGACCCAGGATCTATCTACACGTGTGAGGGACCACCGATCGCCGAGATCGCTCGTGGCGCCGCTGCCTGAGCGCCTGAACACCGCGGCCCGTGCGAACACATATGTGTTCTCTTCGCAGTCCTCCCCCTCCGCCTCTGCCTCGTTTGATTCGTTTGATTCGGGTCCCTGGGATATCGCTTTTCTCGGGCCCTGGTTCCTTTGCCAGTTCCTGTCAGCTTGCCGTCGGTGGTTGCCCCGAGGTCGCCTTTGCTGCGAAGGCCAGCACGTGTGGCTCTGCCTTTTTTAATCTAATTTCGACGTTGCTTTGTGCTGTGTGGAGGCATGTCGGGAAGAGCTGGACAAGTACGAACTGCGCGGGGAGAAGAAGGCAGAGATAAAGCAGGAGGTAGGTTTTCTGTGCGTCGCAGATATGTGAGTCGTTCCGTCTCCCCGCGATGTGAGTCGTTGGGGCCCTTCCTCCTTCCTGGTGTGAGTCCTTCGGGCACCTCCTTGTGTGTGAGTCGTTCGGGCTCCTCGTGGTGTGAGTCGTTCGGGCCCCTCGTCCTGGTGTGCGTCGTTCGGGCCCCTCCTTGTGTGTGAGCCGTTCTGTGTGAGTCGTTCGGGCTCCTCGTGGTGTGAGTCGTTCGGCCCCTCGTCCTGGTGCGAGTCGTTCGGGCTCCTCCTTGGGCGTGAGTCGTTCGGGCTCCTCGCGGTGTGAGTCGTTCGGGCCCCCGGTCCTGGTGTGAGTCGTTCGGGCGCCTCCTTGCGTGTGAGTCGTTCGGGCTCCTCGAGGTGTGAGTCGTTCGGGCCGCTCGTCCTGGGGTGGGTCGTTCGGGCCCCTCCCAGTGTGTGAGTCGTTCGGGCTCCCTGTGGTGTGAGTCGTTGGGGCCCCTCGTCCTGGTGTGAGTCGTTCGGGCGCCTCCTTGCGTGTGAGTTGAGAGCGCTGTACCAGCGCGTCTTGAACGTTGCTGTAATGGCAAGGTCTTGTAACCCCGCTAGTGAGCCCCATGCGTCTCCATGCAGACGAGATTTGCGCGAGAAGGAGCGTCACTCTGCCCGCCCTCCACAAACATGAAGAGACGCTTTCCGTAACCACCCTCCACAGGGGACCCCTTGCGACATTTGAATCTCAACGTGTGGTAACCGCGTTGTCCGTGGAGGTAAAGAGCATAGCTCAGTCAGTCTTACAGAAAGCATAATAAACACTATGCGTAATCTCCATCCACTGGTGAGCATGATGCCAACCGAGCTGCTGGCCCGCGCCCCCCCCCCCCCCCCCTGCACTGCCCTGGCTGGGTCCTGGTACCTTGGTCGGTTCGTGTTATATCGTCTTTGTTGGTTCCTCCGATCTCGCCTTTGCTGGTTTCAGGTTTGTGTCGAATTCCTATCATATTTACTAGTGGTGCTGGCTCTGGGAATGTTAGTATTGCTGTTTCCTGGGAGTCGAGACAAGGGACTCGGGTCCACAAGGGAGTGTGACAAAGGCTAGGGTCTACAAGGGTTTTGCCATCAGAGGGCCGAATGCGTTACGATTCCCTAGCGATTGTCCGTAGCCATTGTGGGGCAAGTCAAGTTAGCCCAAGCCATTCTCGGCCATTGCCCAGCAATCCCCTTGTGGCTCTACTGTTAGCTCCGCGTACCATTTGTGCAGTGCGCTTAGCTCCGCACGGACGCTCTTCTTCCCAACACCTGAGGGCGTGCGGCAGAGTTCACGGAGATGCCAGTCGTGGGCTTACGTGAGGTTCACGCGCCCTTGCCTCGAGCGGTGCGAGACTTGCAAGGGATGATGATGGAAACGATGCCTACGACTGGAGACGGCGCGTGCGCCATTCATTCTGTATGGGGCGAGTGGGAGTGGGGTGAGCTGGTCACGCGCGACGCTCGCTCGTTTCTCCGCGAAGCATTCGGTCCCACCGCTGACATCTTCAAATCGAGGCTGTCGTCCGAGGAGCTGCTGGGGTGCGCTTCTGTGGTTTTGTGCGTTCGCTGGTTCTGTGTCTCGTCGGGGTTGTCCAGGTGCCCTGGCGTGATGATGATGACGGTGATCAGCATGACGATGACGATGGTGATGATGCTGATGATGATGATGCCGATGATGATGACGATGAGGATGATGATGATGCTGCTGATGATGCTGATGATGATGGTGTGATGATATTACGGCGTCCTTTCTTGGCGGTGCTGGCTGTGACACTTTCAGCAGGACTGGAGAAACCATGAGCTCGCGCAGGAGGCGAAGCTCCTCTCTCTCTCTCTCTCTCTCTCTCTCTCTCTCTCTCTCCCCTCTTTTTTTCCTGGGGGTGGCGGAGGAGCGGCGGATTTATATGTGCGTGCGCGTGTGCGTGTGTGCACGCGTGCGCGTGTGTGTTCGAGTAGGGGGGGGGGGGAGCGGAGGACTCGCTTTCCCCTCTCTATCTCGCGATCGTCGTCGTCGTCGTCGGCGTCCCGCGCGGCAGCGCGGGCTTCGCCCGTGAAGTTTAGAGAGGGGTCAGAGGCAGCCAGGGTTCTTCGCCCTCGGATCCTCATCTCCCCTCGTTCTCCTGCCCCCCCTATTCTTCCCAGCCCCTCCTTCGCACGTCTAGGGGGCCAACTCGCCCATCCCTCTCCCCCCTGGCCTGGATGGCCCTTCTCTCCGCCTCTCTCACCCCCCCTCTGCCCCCTCCATCCCTTCCTCCTCCGTGGAGGGCGGAAGAACAGGACTTGCCAACTCAATCGGTCGAGCTCAGGGCTCGAACGATCCTCGAGTCCGCGTTGCCCCCGCCGCCCGCACGGGGCCCTCCCTTCCCTGGCCTGGGGGCGGAGGAAATGTCAAACGTGCGTGGTGAGTGTGTTGCGCGCGTGTGTGTGTGTGTGTGTGTGTGTGTGTGTGTGTGTGTGTGTGTGTGTGTGTGTGTGTGTGTGTTAGTGTTAGTGTTAGTGTTAGTGTTAGTGTTAGTGTTAGTGTTAGTGTTAGTGTTAGTGTTAGTGTTAGTGTTAGTGTTAGTGTTAGTGTTAGTGTTAGTGTTAGTGTTAGTGTTAGTGTTAGTGTTAGTGTTAGTGTTAAGTGCTAGTGTTAGTGTTAGTGTTAGTGTTAGTGTTAGTGTTAGTGTTAGTGTTAGTGTTAGTGTTAGATTAGTGTTAGTGTTAGTGTTAGTGTTAGTGTTAGTGTTAGTGTTAGTGTTAGTGTTAGTGTTAGTGTTAGTGTTAGTGTTAGTGTTAGTGTTAGTGTTAGTGAGCGTGCGTGTTTGAGTATCAGCGGAGGAAGCGTCCTTTTCTCCCCCTCTCCCATCCCCCCCCTTCCCCTCCCTTCTCCCATCCCTCTTCCCTCCTCCCTGGAGCGCGGAAGAAACAGACTCGCCAGCTCGATCGGCCGAGCTCAGGGCCCGAACGATCCTCGAGTTCGGTTTACCCAGCGGGCCCTCCCTCGATTCCCTGGCCTGGGCGCGGAGGAAATGGCGCACGTGCGTGGGGAGTTTTAGTATCCACGGAGGCCTTCCCTCCCGCTCTCTCACCCCCCCCGCCCCCTCCCCTCTGCTCGCCCCCCCCTCCCCCCTGGAGAGCGACAGAAGGGGCTCGATCGAGCCCGGGGCTCGAGCGATCCTCGAGTCTTTGTGTTGCCCCGCCACGGGGCCATGCTCACCCTCGAGCTCGGCGTGGCGTTCGTGATTACTCACGTGCAGATGAACGACATCCTCACGATAGTGCAGGTAAACATCCTCACGGTGGTGTTCGTCCTCCCCCGCGTGCAGGTTGACATCCTTGCGATGGTTTTCGTCCTGTCCCACGTGCAGGTGAACATCCTCACGGTGGTTTTCGCCCTCCTCCTGAGCGGATGCGGCGCGATCTCGCCTCGCGCGCGCGCACGGCGCGCGCGCGCGCACGCGCGCGCACGCACACACGCGCGCAGACGCACACGCACGCAAGCAGACTTCGGAGAGGACCGAATGTCTAAGACACGCATGCCTGTGAGTCCCCCTCCCTCTAGCCCCCCCCCCCCCCTTCCGCCCTCCACGCACGCGCGCGCGCGCACGCGCGCGCGCGCGCTCTCTCTCTCTCTCTCTCTCTCTCTCTCTCTCTCTCTCTCCTTTTTTTTTTTCTCTCTCCTCTCTCTCTCTCTCTCTCTCTCTCTCTCTCTCCTCTCTCTCTTTCTCTCTCGCGCACGCACGCACACGCACGCGCGCGCGCACATGCACGCGCAAATCTCCTCCAACATCGATCCTCCCAGCGGTGATTTTGCAAGCGGATCGAGCAGCATGATGCTGGAGATGCGCATTCCTACAAGTTGCTCGCCCCCTCCCTCCCTCGACCCCTCCCTCCATCACGCGCGCGCACGCGCACGCGCGCGCGCAACGCGCGCGCGCGCGCGCCATCCCATTCCGAATTCGAGCGATCGCAGGCTGAATAATATCAGCCGCCGCTCTGGCACGGCACTGCTCGGAGCGAGCTGCAGGCCCCCAGGCCGCCTCTCTCCCTCTTTGCCCACGCTTCGATTGGAACCACCTCCCTCGCCCCACCAACCTCCACATCTACGCTTCCTATCACAGTTGCCCCCCCTTTCCCTTCTCGGAGAATTAGCGCGCGAAGCTGGCCGCAGCATTAATGCAGAAGGGCCGCCCACGCTGCGCCTGCCATTTCCTCGCCCCCCTCCCCCCTCGATCCGGTTCGGCCCGTGGGCGATCCGTGCAGCGAGGGCTTGGCGCGGGGGCGTGCGCCGACAAGTGGCTAACGCATGCGCAACTTCGAGGAAACGACCCACCCTCCTATATCCCACCCTCCCACCTCGCCCCCCGCATATCGCTCGCGCAGCGACGCGTGCCCAGGGGCGCAGTGCGAGATTGCGACCATGCGCTTTGGAAAGAGCCCTCATCCTCCTCCATCTCCCCCTTCGCGGCCGCCGTCGTGAAAAGGCCGCGTTATGTGGCCGCCGTCCAGGTGCCCAGACCTCCAGCCGTCGTGAAAAAATCACAACGCGAGGTTTTTCGCTATGTTCGGCCTCTGGGGGCTCTCACGAGCACTCGCCTCGGCAGCGACAGACCTCCGGGGGTCGACGCTGTGAAAAATCACGACGTCGGGGATCTGGGCCCCAGGACGTCGCCAAGGGCAGCGCCACGTGAAGACGCAGATGCGCACAGTTGAGCGCCACCGACATTGTGACCATCAGCGTTTTCGAAATAACGCCCATCCCCTCCACCTCTTCCTCACTTGGGACCTCTACCTTCTCCGATCGACTAAGACCACCCAGTTGGTCGACGCGCGTGGCCGCATCATCGCGCGGCGTAGTTACGCGGAAATAACCGTCGCTTGCTCTACGGAAAATCGGCGACCGTCCGCGCAGTGTTCGGGTTTGCCTTGCGTGTGTGTGTGTGTTTTTTTTTTTTTTTTTTTTTGTTGTTCCAGGGTTTTGTGTTCCAAGGGTGTTTTGTTTTCCCGCCCTTGCCCCGACCCAGGACCCTGGGGCCAAAAAGCACGCCCCCCTCGAGTTGCACCGCGCAGTGCCGTCTCCGTGCACTCTGCGCATGATGCATGTATGTTTGTGATAGTTAGCGTTGAGAGGTGCATGTTAGTTCTTCTCTTCTCTCGCCCCTCATTTTTTTTACTAGGGCTCGCTCGCCTCGAGACGATTCGGCGGCGCAGGGAGCACAGGCTGAATGGCGCGCGCGCAATTATGCACTACGCGCCACGCGCATGCGGATGAACAGTGCGGGCGTCATATATATCTATATATGTACACATAATACACGTGTGCAAATGTGTCGATATATATATATATATATCTATATTTATACACATATATATATATATATATATATGCATAGATCCTCGTTCCACCCCATCCCAAGCGTTTGAATCGATCCTGGCGCTGCAGAAGGCGGCGTTGGCGCGTGAGCGACGGGTGTGATTTTTCTCGACGGGTGATTTTTTTCACGACGGGTGGTTTTTCTCCATGTTCGGCCTCGGGGGGCCCTTCTCGGACCTCGGGCGCGGCCCAGACCTCTGGGGGTCGACGTCGCGAACAAAAAAGTCACAACGTCGGGGACCGATCGTCGCATCGCTGTTTTTCGCAGGAGCGACGGCTGCGGGTCTCAGGCCAAGTGCACTGAAGTGACAACCGCAGGCTGCATTGTGCGCGCGCATGGTTCAGTTGGAAATGTGCGCAGATGCCCTGCCCATCGCTGTGTCTCCCCTTCATCCTCCCTCCTCCCTCCTCCTCCCCCCCTCCCCCCTCCCCCCGCGGTCCGTTGCAATCTTCAACTACGGGAATGGCATATTCTGCATTATTTCCCCGCCGATCGCCGCGACGTGTCCCTGGGATCTCGCCTTTCTGGGGCCCTGGTTCCTGGGGCGGTTCCTGCTAGCTTGCCTTCGGTGGTTCCTCCGATCTCGGGTTTGGTAGTGACTGCCTTTGTTCTGGTTCCTATCGGGTTTGGTAGTCGCGCGGGCTCCTGGGATTTCTCTACTGTTGGTTCCAGGGAGTCGTGAGAAGGGACGGACGTTCACAAGGAAGTGTGAGAGAGACGTGGGACCAGAAGAAGTGTGCCATAATCGGGTCGACGGCAGTGCGATTCCCTAACGGTTTTCCGTAGCCATTGGCCCAACAGAAGTAGGAAATAATATTCTCGGCCATTCCCTAGGAATCTCCTTGTTTGAGGGAGCACCGATTGCCCAGATTTTTCGTTGCGGCGCTGACTGGGCGCGCGAGCACCGCAGCCTGCTCTGCGACCGAGTCGACGAGGTTCGAAGGCCTGTGCGAAAACATGTGTGTCCTCTTCACAATCCTCCTCCTCCGCCTCTGCCTCGTTTGATCCGTTTCATTTGTATTCCTGGGATCTCGCTTTTCTGGGGCCCTGGTTCCTTGGCCGGTTCCTGCTAGCCTGCCTTCGGAGGTTCCTCCGATCTCGGCTTGGTTAGTAACTGCCTTTTTTCTGGTTCCTATCGGATTTGGTAGTCGCGGGGGCTCCTCGGATCTCACTACTGCTGGTTCCAAGACGTCGCGACAAGGGACGGAGGTGCACAAGGAGGTGTGAGAGAGACGTGGGACCAGAAGAACTGTGCCATAATCGGGTCGAAGGCATGTCGATTCCCTGACGGTTTTCTGTGACCATGGTGGCCAAACACAAGTAGGAGATAATATTCTCGGCCATTCCCCAGGAATCTCCTTGTTTGAGGGAGCACCGATCGCCGAGATTTTTCGCTGCGGTGCTGCCTGAGTGCCTGAACCGCAGCCTGCTCGGCGACCGAGTCGACCAAGCTGGAAGGCCTGTGCGAAAAAATGTGCGTCCTCTTCACAATTTTCCCCCTCCGCCTCTGCCTCGTTTGAGTCTTTTCATTCGTGTCCCTTGGATCTCGCTTTTCTGGGGCCCTGGTTCCTTGGCCGGTTCCTGTTAGCTTGTTTTCGGTGGTTCCTCCGATGTCGGCCTTGCTAGTTGCTGCCTTTTTTTTTTCTGGTGCCTATCGGGTTTGGTAGTCGCGCGGGCTCCTGGGATGTCACTACTGCTGATTCCAGGGAGTCGTGACCAGGGACGGAGGTTCACAAGGAAGTGTGAGAGAGGCTTGGGTCCAGAATACCTGCGCCGTAATCGGGTCGAAGGCATTGCGTTTCCCTGACGGTTGTCCGTAGCCATTGTGGCCCAACACAAGTAGGAGATAATATTCTCGGCCGTTCCCCAGGACTCCCCCTGTTGCTGTGAGTTGTCTCCGCCGACCATTTCTGCAGTGAGCTTAGCTCGGCGCGGACGTACTCACTCGACCTCGCGCGCGATGGCTACTCGTAGTGGCGAGGATCTTCGGAGTGAGAGTCGGCCCCGTTCCAGCACGCACACGATGTACCCAGACAAGCCCGATGAGCGCCTCAGCAACACCAAGAGCGCGACGAGACGTGAGCAGGAAGCTCGGACACTCCACCGTCGCCGGGCTCTGGACGACAGCTCCGAGGCTTCCACCGATCGAGCTGATGACGTGGTTGGCGCGCAGACCCACAGGGGTAGCCGCTCGCCATCCGCACCTGGTCCTGCACCTACTGAGCAGGAGAGGCAGGCCATGATAACGGAGAGCCACGCGTTTCTGGACGCCCGTATGACCTTGTTGGAGGAACACTTAAGGCATTGGGCTCAGATGGTATATGCTCTGTACTGCACGACTGGCGAGGGCCATACATACCACTATGACTCTGGGTAGAGCGAGTTTGGACACGGGATGTTGCCTCAACTCAGCTTCCGTACGGGATGTTGCCTGAACTCTACCTTGTGATACACCGCTGAATCTGTAATGGGTAGTATCGCTACTTGGCTACACTGGGAGGTCGGGCAGTTTTATCCGTGGGTGTGGCCGCTACCCCGGTGCAGTGGATTCGTTCGGTGCTCTCCTCCAGGTGCGAGTCGTTCGGGTCTCCCCTCCTGGTCAGAGTCGTTCGGGCCCCTCCTCGATGTGCAAGTCGTTCGGCGAGGGGCCCGAACGACTCGCGCAAGGAGCGGGCCCGAACGACTCGCACCAGAGCGAGGGGCCCCAACGACGCACACCACCTGCATTCTTGTCCAGGACGTGCACACTCTGAGTACCGTGAGTCTACCCTTGCCGAGCGGAAATCCTCAGATCGGTTCGAGGGGGCCGATCTTGGAGGCGAGTTTCCCCTGGTGCTCCTCCTCCACCTCTCCCTCCGAACCTGCCGCCTGCTGCCCGCGCCCGATTTGATGGGCGAACCTGCCTCTCAAGTGCAGCGCAGAGCTGCGAGCCTGAGCAGGGTAGTTACTTGTGCCCCGTGCGCACTGCAGAACTGGTCGGGAAAGATCGCTGGATCGTCGACGCCGTC